AAAAGGTGAAGATTCGAATATTCGAATTTCAAAAAATTGGTTGCGTTGTGAGCTAGCACGACGTTAACATAAATAAATAAATAAATATAAATAACACAAGCCCTTTATCCCTACGCCAATCACCTGTGAACCGACATGAACTATTCACGTGCAGAAGACTGGAAATTAGGAGGGCAAGACTGAACACCTGTACGCGGTGTCCTCTACGAACCTGGGAGTGAAATATTCTCCCAGAGCCAAGTTCAGTCAAATTTCGCAATATCAAAGAAGTTGGCCCACGAGGCAAAGATTCAAATTACTCCACCATGTCAATCTTTCACTTCCAAAGAGTCCGATTCTCAACTAAGCTTCATCAAGTCTACAAGTACGACCTAGTACATCCTCGTTTCAATGACCACACCTCTCGTCGACTTTCTCTGGCCTCAGCCGGTCACCAAATACACGCCCACGCCGATATTTACACCCGACGGAGGAAGCAAAGCGTGGAGCACAAATCTGGGAGATAGCTCTCTGGGATGGACGTGAGAGGGATCAGGACAAGTTCACAAGATGATGCAGAAGAGGGATACGTTTTCGACGGGCGTGGAATTTTGAATTTTGGCAAGAGTTTTACGAATTGAGCTTTGTGCGTGCCAAGACTTCGCTTGCGAGAGTGCAGCTGACACTATAAACACAAGCCAACGATGGAAAGTGTTGTGGTCCGCCTCCTGGTGGTGTTCTCTGGTATGGTTTGAGTAGCCTGGGCACCTACTCCACTTGGGAAGGAGACACCTCAGATCACATATCGCGCGGAGAAAAGTTTAAAGATGATGGAGGCATGTCTGGATAACTCAGGGTTTATGAGACGTTCCCCTGGGTGGGTATTTACGGATGAGGGTTGACTTGGGGTAAAGAAAAAGCCGCCATAACTTCGCAGTGGTACTTGCAAATGAAATCCGAGGCATGAGTGCTCCTCTTGTAAATTGAGTCATCTTTTCTGTACTTTTCTTTGATATTGTGTCATAGCTAGATAGCTGCATACGCAATTAAAATCTGATGCAAAAAAAAAAAAAAGACTGGAAATTAATGAATAAGTTATCTTGAACGTAACACGTGTTACTACATGTAGTCCTAATGAAGTGCATATCATCCAATAATTTTGAACTTGTATAGATTATAAATGGATTTGAAAATGCAGATTGGATGAAATAAAAGACTAAAAACTGTCACGCAACCGTACACTTAGCGATCGGGGTCGTCACGAGACAGCATTTCCCCTGTAGCTCAAAAGACCTAAAATTGATTCAATCCAACAATTCGCCAAGATGAGAAAATAATACAAACGTTCATCTGATACTTATCAACCCTTGTCGAATGAAGCCAAAAAGCTCGCATCCAAGATATCATCGCTACAAGCAGACCATCTTGAATAGCTGAAGGGAGGATGTTTAAACATGTCAAATGTGTACATCAGTGATCAGAGGTATCATCTACCATACTTGTACATTAAATCATTAAAATAATAACACTTCTCGAAAATAAATGGATCCAAATAGCCGAATCGTTGATTGGACAAAAATTAGACACTAAATATCAGTTGCGAAAAAGAAGACTTTCATAACAACTTGAAAAGATTCATATTGGTAAATTTAAATCCACTGAAATTTACTCCTACAAACACTCAATAATTGCAAGATACACGTATCAACCACCTTAGTAAAGTTCCAAATCGAAAAATCTTTTTGGAATAGTGATCTGGAAACTATACCTAGATTAATTAGCCTCGAGAGGTCTAGACTCGTGGATTGTACTTTGTAAATCTCAAAGTTGATGACAGTATTCAGCTTTATCGCTAAAGTGATGCATCATTCTTTTTCAAAGAATATTATGCATGAACAACAATGAGTCAAATTTTATGTAGACCATTACTTCACCTTTCATCACTGTCATTAGAGAAACTCATTCTATTCTTCTTATCTGAGATATAAAAAAATCACTGCAATCCAACTAAGATCGAAAGCAAACAAATGCGTTTCTTAAACTGACGACTTCCCACCAATGTCGGACCTATCATTCATTTGCGAGTCCCCAACTCAATCTTAACACTCATAAAATCAGAACAACAAACGGTCAAGAAGCGGACCGAATTTCAGACTGAGACTTGCCTCATTAACCATCGACAAATTTTCACTAAATATTTACTAAGCTACAGAAGCCTTTAAAGAGTAAAATAAGTCATCTAGATCGAAGTTTAAGCTTAAACTTATGTGGAATAATATTTACAGTTTAGAACTAGAGATGGAGAAAGGATAGATGGTTTATAAATGGAACGAAAGAAGGCAAAGTCATTGATGGGCATTCCGGGAAAACTGATTTTCGTCAGTGTCAGCCTTTGAATGATTGTTGGCACCAAGGTCGAAATTTAAGAAAGTACTACCGAAGCTTTCAAAAAATGATGCGCCATGCTTCTGTTTGTGGAAAGAGGAGTAGAAAATTGACTTTATTTAAATACCAACTTTTGGTGTAAGCAAAGATTGAGTCGGAGTAAACAAAATATTCGTGAGTCAAATTGTAAAATATAGTCAGGGTGCATGGAACCAGATCTAGACATTGTGATAACTTGTCGGTTTCTGTTCGCAAAAAATTGTACTCAATAGAAGAATTGAGTCTTTCTGAATCATCTACCTGTGATATGTCCTATCAATAAAGGGCTGGCCCGGGGCGCAAATAAATTCACAACATAACACATTACAAAATTAAGAAAGAGACATATCTATCGCTCTATATCTATGCGGAAAAATTCCTTCATCGATAGTTTAGAAATATCTAGAAGTCTTCATAGAATATAAGAGAGTTTCAAGATGAGCTTTCAAATATAATGCGACAATGCAGAGGGCACTATTATCCACCTTTAAAATACATATTTGGCAATATGATTATAATTTTGAACTTTATTTGTTTTCATGGGCTTCATGAAAACAAATAACAATCTACTCAGCAGAAATAGTCTTATTTCACCAAAACATAATGTATGACAAGTACCTACGAAATATAACTAAGTATGAATCGTATTATATTTATCATTCGTCTATGGTGTTGTAACTGCATCAAAATAGACATTGATGATTCAAAGGAATAGGAAATTCTCCTAAATCAGAAACTCAATATGTCTTTCGTCTATTTAATATGAATACAAGCTAATTTAGGGCTTTAAACGGACTTTTGTCTTTATAATTTTGAATAAAATTCTGGGTTTGTAGAAAGTATAGCTTATGATCAGATAAAATCGAAGTACTGAGAATATCAGAGCGGAAAGCTGACCATCAGATAGTGTGAGTCTAAAAATGATCGATACAATTTTTTAATCTATTCTATACAATACCACATATTGACGATGAGTTGCAAGAACCCTCAAAATTTCCAGTTCTAAGATCAAGAGAGGAAAGAGCGATCAGTTACTTCAGATGATCAAATCTTAGATCATGCAGTATAAATGACCACTCATGATACGGGCTACGACAACAGTTCATTTCATTGTCAATCACCAAGTCTCTAGCGACCGTCTTTGAACTTCTGTACGAACAAAGTCAATAGTGACATGCAAAGCAATATTTCAAACAATCGAATCATCAAACTCTAAGAATACAGTTTCCTAAGATTAACCTTTTATTTTTAGATTCAAGATTTATAGAAGAGGACAATTTTCTATGCGCTCAGAGAAACTTCAATGTGATACTATACCAAATACTTTCACCACGAAATTGTTTCATAGGAGTTCTAAAACTCATTTCGTGAGGACAACACCCGATGATTTGAAGCACATGACGATTGCAGAGGTCGGCTTTTCTATCTCCAACATTATTATGGCTTGTGATGAGCCTAGAATCTCGTTCCATCGTCCGCCAAGCGAAGAAATAGATTGGTTTTTATCATTTGATAGGAGTAATCGCTGCAAAAATGGGGTATTTTGTTTGGTACAAGCCAATAAGCACCAGTAACCCAATTTAATTTCCCCGTATTATGGTGCTATGACCTATTCGCATATATTTGCACACGTCAAATTGATAATTCTTTACGAACCAATCTATTATGGTCCTAGTGGATTTCGAAAATGATGGGTATTAAAGGAGCTCCCATTTCATTCTTCGTTTTCTATCTTTTCTAACACAGACAGGGCAAAATTTTCGTAATAAAGCTCACCAGCTTTACAACACGCTTTCACAATCAACTCATACATATGCTCACAATCATACTCTCTCCAAATTTACGACTCTAGCTTTAGAAATTCAGCTTCTAGCTGAATACTTCCCCGAGATATTACGCTCGACAAAATTTAACTCGCTCATCTTTTTCTACACTCGCCTTCCCACAATTCATCAAACTCGTCCATATTCATTATATCCACAGATACACCTACCACCAGTGGGTCGGATAGCTGGAAATATTTTCAGCTTATAGTAAGATATCTCCTAGAAATCTTAATACGAGGGTAAATGTTTTCATGATTGGAAGACTAACCATTCGCGGATCAGTCATAAACATACACATCATCAATTTCTCCGACAAGCAACCAACTGTCTAGCCCCACAAAGACACTCATATAAACCTTTATAAACTATAAACTTAAACTTTTAAACCTTAACCCAAAAAATTTTATTCTCCATTATCCTTCTATTAAACTTCATAGCTCCATATTATAAACTCTGAGCCTGATTACTTAAGTTATTCACTGCCAGAGATAAGCTCATTGATAGAGATTATAACCAAATCTTTAAGTCCCTTGGATAATTATTCTATTTTGATCTCTGCAAACCATAATTTCTACAACCTTATAGCCCCTTAAACTCTTGAATCCATACAGATATCTATCCATGCGACTAAAGAATCACTGACAAAGGTAATTTTATCATAAAAACCTGATGGATGTGTTAACCCAAGTTTCTTACCATCGATAGTTACATCTTAAGTTCCAGTTTTCCTAAGATATCTTTTAGAATTCTTATTCTTCGTAACCTTGAAAAATGGATTTTTGTATGAAGTTCCCTTGCACAAACATGGCTATGAGTGCCGAAAACTCCCCTCGTCCTTATCCAGCCGAGTTAATTAACACGCCGGATGGACCATATATTGTTGGTACTGGAGCTCCTCTCGGATTTTTCACCAGTGCATCATTTGACGAACTTGCCATTATATCAACCCAGCTAGGTACCTTGAAAAAAAAAGCGTGGCCGAAAAGCCTTTTAGATCTCCCACGTCCTTTTGATCATATTGACGTGCGGACAAAGGCGAAGAAGGCCGCCATCTTTTCATTGAAGAATTTAAGATAGATAACGTTCGTCATGTAAGGCCTCCAACCTCGCTGCAGGATCTGTTCCAAGGATTCGATGCGATAGGACTGTACATGTATGGTATTGGGTTTTGCTACTTTTTCATGTGCTACATTGGTAAGTTCGCTCAAGAATACCAGAGTAAGATGAATCAAATGATTGATTCATACACCAAAACCTTGTGGAAAAGAATAAAATACATCTGATACAGCTACCACGAGCACATAATGGGAAGGAGGAAAGGATTCTACATCTAAATCGATATCAAATCACAGAACAGATGGATACAAAGGAGAAGGACTTCTTTTGGGAGCGAGTCTATCACTACAGAAAGATACTTCTCGATGATGAAAAACTAAATCCACTGAAAATACTCCTTGATCCTTCATTATCTAGTGCATGGCCATCTCCACATGACAATTGGACTCGGTCTAAAAAAAACGAACCTGAAGCTTGGCAGAACTCAGAGCAAAATCAAACGATCAATGAATCCAATAGTCCATCGTCAGTTACATCGCCAAGCTGATCTTTAAAAAGTGTGCATCAGCTGACAGTTACTATCTAGGGACTTATTTACGAACCCGATGTGTCGTTTAGAGCTAGAGAATCCTTCTCCTGAGAAATATACTCGGGGATCATCATTCATGATATTCAGTAAATGTAAAAATTGCACAAGAAATCAAGATGGAAAGGAAACGTTGATAATTATTACGGAGTCGGATGAACTAGCAGTAAATTACGAGTGGTCGGGAATACCTAAACCAAAATTATCAACGCCGCTTTCTTCTGAACGGATCTTATCATCTACTGCATCAAGTAAAAGGGACCCGAAGTCGACTTATATCCCACATGTCCGATCTTCAGACCTTGTTAGGGGTAAATCAAAGATACCACGATTGATGCGCCCAAACTCTCAAGCCGCCATTTCCTACTCAACCCGACCCAGAAAGCAATCAGTCAAAGGGACTGAATCAAATCAAAGAAAAAAAATTGTCACAACAGCTGCTGGGCAGTCAAAAATTGTCCGAAAGCCAAATTTATCAGTTTCATCTCAAAAGGTTTCGCCACACAAACCTAATAAATTTAAAAAAATTAATGATTCGTGCGGAGTGGCAGAGCATTTCAAAAAGACTGGTCAAGTAAATCGAGGATGGCAAAAGAAACCTTGGGTATAGCTTCTATTGGATAGAATGATCTGGATATTGGAAAAAAATGAAGCAATTTCAGGATACAGAAGATTGTAGAATTATTAATGGCGGCGGTTCGAAGTCGATCGGTGCAAAATTGCAGTGTTAAGTATTTTGCAAATGCAAGATGGGTAATTTTTGACGATGGAAAGGAATTATTGGGGCGCAGGTTTTACTTTTGTAGAATAAATTTTATTTTTGATAGAAATAACGCTCCGTTAAAATTTTATAGAAAGTTTAGAGTCATACCATCTGATGATTCAGGATGTAGGATACGTACTCCTTCCACTCGTTGCATGTGACTCAAACTTGACCTTCATCCAGGACCCACTAAGTCACACCTCTGTAGAAAACATTTGATCCGTACAGTAGTTGTGAATGCGTTATTAATACATTAGGAAATTAGAATAAACTTCGATTACCTCGTTTGTTCGATCGTTCAGATCTCGAACTTATTTCGTGATATCCGAACCATTGAGAATGTTGGCTGGACAATTAGTAAAGGATGATTTGCTGGTTTTAGATTTTATGTAGTCAGTGTGACTATGTATTTTCAACCCCTTCGAAGTTCTCGAAGAAATTGCCTAAAACTAGTCACAGGGGCATATAAATCGACTAGCACCGGGGTTCTGGAACACGAAACCGCTACACTTCCAATAGAAATCTACTTGAAGCAACAAAGGGTACAATATGTAGGCTGTTCATATTCTCTACCAGTCCAAAAAGCTATTCAATCTGCGTGTAATATGATCAAGCTGCCCAAAAGAGGGAGAGAAGATATTCGAGCGAATATTAGAAGAGCAGACCTTGCCTACTGGAGAGAGGATTGCAGAGAAAAGAAATCAAAAGATTTACAGAAAGAAGCGCAAAAGATTGCAGCATATCTATAATAGGCGAAATCTTGGTCTACCCCTAAGCGAAGTCGACAGCCCCAAAAACTTGCCACAGCAGATCCTAAAACTTGGAAAGCAGCTGAGTTCTATCAATGCCGACATACTGGACGTCAAAGAATAAGTTTCCAGAAAACTCCTCTAACTCTCCATAAAAACCTGACGAGGGCCCAAAGTAGCTTAGCAATCCAAATTCGAAGCGAGCATATCGGGCTCAATTCGTATTTGCATAGAAGAAAAGTATCTGGAGTCTACGATTCATACTGTCCGTGTGGCTACCAATCACAAAATCCCAAGCATATGATTATGTCCTGCCCTAAGTGGCAAGCGGTAGGGGTGAGATCTGGAGACAAGCCAAAGATCGGTCCGACGAAGCAATGATAGACAATCCTGGTGATATTAAAAGAGTTAGGCAATGGATTCTTAGTCATGGTTGGATAAATCAATTCCGCATGACAAATGCAGTCGAAATGCTGATTAGGGAACGAGGCAGGACTGGCACAAGGTTTTTTTTTTTTTTTAAATCATTAACTGTATGCAGCCTATCTAGCTATGACACTTTGGCACAAGGTTGGGGTCGTTAGAGGGGACGTGATTGGTACATACAGACGGCACTACAGCGTAACTGTGCTTCCTGAAGGATAAATTGCAAATTTCAAAGATACAAATCAGGAAGCTGGGGAGGTTTTCACCGAGAGGTTTCCTATGTAAATATATAGATAGGTTTATCGCCACCTGCATGGGCCCAAAGGGCGCCAAATCAGGATAATGAATACAAATCAAAAATATATATTTTCAAAGTAGTATCCGAGATTGGTAAGCAAGGCAATGGATTGGAAGTAACTGGAGATGCAAGAGTCTATGGAGGTACAGGTGATCTGATAGTGTCCAAGTAGTGACCTCATCGCCTGTCGTGGTGAAAGCGCTAGTAGTTCTATCCTGCTTGTAACTATCCAGGCGTTTAAGGATTTCCTCTCCAAGCAAAGTCATCTTAAAATTTGTACAAAAACTGTCCTTACTTGATACCTCTCTTCCTTAAAGAATACCACTCCAATGCTGTTCTATAACATTACAGTATATACTTACCTACGCAACGGAGCATTATTAATAAGCCCCCCGAGAGATTGAGACCGAAATTGTTATCAAAACGGGCTCGTTTTTTTTTAATCATAGTGTATTCAGCTATCTAGCTATGAAACATTATTTACGTAATTTAAGTCCCCAAAGCTCCTTTCTGAAATACAATCTTCATAATATATTTTTAATTTCCAATTTAGCTATCCTAGTTCAACTCCCTTTATATGCCACCATGCACTTGGATGTGTCCAAATATTTAAGAAGTGTTTCTTTTCCTCTTCTTGTTCGGAATAATATAGGTAGGGTTCTCGGCTCTATGCCCTGAAAACATCTGTTTCTTTGGTATTTAAATTTGGGACATTGTAACAACAAATGTTGCACAGTCTGCCTTTGTTTTGAACCAGAATTACACATATCATCTTCAACTTTTCCTATCTTGTGCAGATATGCTCGGGTATTTGCGACCCCTAAAAACGGGCTCGTTGAACTCGTCGGTATATGAAACTGAATGAAGGGGAAGAATATTGACAGCTTCTACGAACGGGACCGTGTAGAGTGACAAATACCCAAAATCTTTTTACAGTGTTCTCTACGAACCTTAGAGTAAAATCTTCAAGAGCCGAGTTCAGTCAAATTTGGCGGTGCAGATATGTTGACCCATGAAGCAATGGCTCACAACTCCTGACCATATCAATATAACACTCCCGCTTATTTTGATTCCGCCAAAGCCCAATCAAGTCTGCAAGTACCACCTTCTAAATCATTACTTCAATGACCACACCTCTCCTCAAAGAGTCTCTGGCCCCACATGACCTCCCCAACAAACCCACGAGAATATGATCACCCGCCAGAGAAAATAAATAATGGCGAACAAATTTAGGAAGTGGTTCTTTGGATTGGGAGTGAGAGATATGAGCGCAGGTATACAAGCTGATGCAAAGAATTGATCGAATTCGAAAGGGGTGAGATGTTAAATGTTGGCCAGGACATTTGCGACCTGAGCTATGAGCGCGTCAAGAATTCGATTGCGGAAGCGGAGGCGACACGGTAAACACCACCGCGATTAGATGGTGCGGTACTTTATCTGGACCGTTACCTTAAGTAGACCCTGGATAGCTTGGATACATATCCCACATGAGATAGGGGATTGCAGGCTCGAATATAGCATCATATTACCACTCTTTCTGTGGAATGGATGTACACGGATGCCCGAGACATGTTTGGACAAATAAATATTTTGGTAAATTCCCTTTATTGGGTACCCTTGGAGGAAGTTCAACTGTTTGTGTGAGCAAGCACACCTTGTAGTGGTATTTACGAATGAAATACAGAATATGAGATTCTTAAATACCAAAAGATTCATACAAAACGTACACATAGCAATAATCATATTTCATAGCTAGATAGCCGAATGGGAATTTGATGATCTTAGATAAAAGAAAAGGCTTAATAATGGCAGTGTCACAGTTTGATCGTTGTATAAGCTTAGGTGGATACCTAAGCGTAATACTTCGATTGTTTACAATAAGGTCGCACGGGGAGGGGAAGATGGAACTAGACGAAACGATAATACTAATCAGGACGCTAGATTGCTGTTACATGTAAGTAACACCCAACGATACGTGGCTAGTTAGCGAGTATGATGTCTGGAGGAAAGCCATCAGTTAGTAGATACACGCAGCGGATCAGTCATTATAAGTACCTGTTAGTTGTAGCTAGTGTTCATTTCTCTCCTCACATAGTTTAATAAATCGACCTATTCATCACCAACTCGGTTTCCGTCACAGGCAGCTTTAAGGATAAACATAAGATGTACAAATATTTCTCGATCGTAAAACCTGACTAAATCGATGATTAAAACCGCAAAAATGAATCATAGAAAGGAACAACACTGTCTGATGTTAGTAACATGGCAACTAACAATATTCATAGGTAAAATTTCCCTCGAAGACCTTTCTGAATTAGACTTGTATGGCGGCTCGCTCCGAAATCACTCTACGACTTACCGAAATATCCCTAATTCAGATATTACACTCGCAATCGAAAATATAGGAATACTTCCTTTTCGCCGTAATCTCGCGCACTATCGAGGTCTGGGTTAAGTATCGGCCTTATTGTTGAAGTTATGAGCTTGTGCTCAGAGTGAAGTCAGAGCTGAATCAGTGTCGTCGGTTAGACAGATATAGTAAGGCTTATTTGAGGCTGTAGAGAGGAAGATTTGAGTGAAAAATTGTACTTGTATAATTCTAAGTGAGCTTTAAAAGATAAAAAGTAAGATTACGTGTACGCATTTTATCTGAGATTTTCGACCAGTTTTTATCAATCTCCATGTATCATGAGTTATGACAGCCGTAAGTGTAGATCTATATACATACGGATATGTGAGCCAGGCATATAAAGCTCATTACATGTGTGGCGGGTGAAAGGTCTAAGCATCTTTTAAACCGTATGTAGAACAAAGTCCTCCGCCGGAATGCTAGAATGAGATAAAAACTATGCGCATAAAAATTTTACTGCGGAATTTACAGTTAATAAGAATGTAGGAGGGGGGAAGAAACATCATTTTTGCTAGAAAGCTGCGCAGCGTTCCACGCTACCCGTATCAGCAATTTGACATCGTGATTATTATATTTACATCTTCATTACCCTCCTACCATCTTTTCGCTTTCCGTGCTCCAACATGGCGAGTGTGGGTGCTGGTGTGGGTAAATCCAGCGGTTTCGACGCGTCGCAAAATGCGACAATGGCCCCAACAAACAACGGCAGCGGAGCGCAGAAAGCTCCTAAGGATAGAAACCTTGAAATCCTGGGGAAACTATTGAAACAGCTTAGACTTATCGTGATGGGAGAGATGGATGAGGAGGACTTACCCTCAATGGAGGATGTGAACGAGGCCGTGAAGGCTTTCAACGCACACAAAAGGGCCTAGACGGAAATGACCCAGAAGAAGTCTGCCATCGAGGAGAGGATGATGGCGCTCGAGGAGATTGTCAAAAAGAGCCTCGCGGATCCCGCTCGAAA